TCATATTTAATTTTTACCTCTAAAACAACATTACATACACAAACTGACCAACAATCATACTGGACCATCATACTGAAAAAATAATGACACACACACGTAAATACATACTAAATATTACAATACCAAGAGAGGATATTCATCCAAAAAAAGGCCATTAAAATGTTTTAAATCAATTAAATTACAATAGAAGGGCACAAACAAGCTGAGCCATATTAAAATCAACATACAAAGTGAATGCTCCAGACATAAAGCAGTGAAAACACAGCATCTGGTTATTACATCTCCAGTGCATGGTCCTCTGTTGTCTTTTTACTTATGTACATAATATACAAATTTTCATTATTTTATAAGTGATACCTTGTCTAATCTATAACATAATGAAAATGTTTCAATCAGTAGAACCTAAAGTGAACTCTTCATGTGAGTGTTTTATCCAACCAACCCAAAAAATATTAAATTTACAATGATATAACAATCAGTCATTTGCCTTTGATAAATGAGCTACATTATTTTAACCTGCTGACCATTAAAATAATTGCCAGCTTAAGTTCTGTTGTTGACTGAACAAACAGCTAATTCTTTCAGCTCTAAATTTTATTCTAATCTGTTTTGTGCTTCTACAAATAGCATAAAAACAAGTAACAGTAAACTGTGACAGGAGAGGTTAAGATAACCATACGCCTATAACGGCCTCTGTGCAAATTAATAGTGGTAAAAATCAATAAATGCATCAGTTGGTTAAATAAAAACAGACACTGGACACAAGGACATAGAGAAAATAAGCTGCATAACACAGAATAGGCAACGCTGATCAGCTGACAATCATTTGAAAAAGAAAATAAGACTTGAGTATTGGAAATTACAACAACAGAGGGTGTAACAACAGAATGATAGATGAGTAATTAAACATCAGTGTTCACATGTTCTCTTTTTTCAGCTGGTCCTTCCTGGAGATCACTACCAGCAGTCAGTACAATGACAGTATCCAGGCTTATGCTGCTGGCGCAGTGGAGGCTGCTCTCACTTCTCAGGTCAGTCCTCAGGCCTGTTTGTGCTCTACTTACCAAGCAGCCAGAATGTTGTATTTACTTATTCTATGTTTGATTTAATCTAAAGACCTGGTGTATGTTTGTTTTAGCTCATCTATAAGCACTGGATGAACACTCTCGTGAATTACTGTGGGCCCTTCACGTCTGAGTCTGCTTACTGCCAGCGCCTTAAGGCTTTCATCACAACCAATCTGCAGTGGGTTCAGGAGCAAATAGAGAAGCAGCCAAGCTCTCCCTACTGGTACCAGGTACGTTATGAGCATTTGTAGGATGAATAAAATCCCTTGCATCGATACAGAAAGGCCTGAAATAACATGTTTCATAATCTGTTTCTGCTCCTTAGGTGCGTCTGGCACTGCTGCAGCTAAAAGGTCTCGAGGATAGCTACAATGACGAGCTGTCGTTTCCAATAGGGTCATTCTCCCTCAACCCATTTGGCTTCCTGTAAGTGGCTATCTCCATTTGTAATCAATCAAACATGTTTCTTCACAGTTCTTGAGATCATAATTGTTGTTGTCTCACACTCTTTACTGCTACTCTTCACAACCAGACTTTTCCAGTTGGGTGGAGATCTGGAGGACTTGGAATCGGCTCTCAACAAATCCAGCCAAACTCGACCTCTTGGATCTGGCTCCTGTTCTGCTCTCATTAAGCTGCTGCCGAACAATAAGGAACTGCTGGTGTCACATGACACCTGGAACAACTACCAGGCCATGCTGCGCATCATGAAGAAATACATGTTTGCCTTCAGAGTTTCTCCTTCAGGTAGACTACTGATGCAAGTGTGTCTCCTGATCATCCTTACTTCCTTTCCTGAGTCCCTCATTACTTACATTAAATGAAGAGTTCACCATTATAGGAAAATTTGCTTATTTGCTTTCTTCACACAAGTTACATGAAAATATCAATGCCAGTCCTGTTCTTGTACTGTAACCAGGACATAACCAGGACATATTATTTCGTCAAAACATTGAGCTTTGAACTATGACCCTCCTGCTCATATATCTGTTATCTTGTAGATAAAACGAAATACCATTTGCTGAGCTCGCCAGAGACAGAGGTCAAATCAAAGAGCTCTGCTGTTGTTACTTTGCTATGTATATAGTTTATGTAGTTTTAACTTTAAAGATATAAGACTCTAACATATTCACAACAGAAAATTACCTGTATTTCTCTGTTATTGTATTTTTATAGTTATGTCCTTTGTTTGTTGGTGGTCTTCATGGTTTTTTGTTCATTTAAACAATTAATATTCCTGCTATTACTATTCATCTGGTCATCAGTCACCTGAATGCACTGTTATCCATCACTGCAGTTTCTGCCAGCTGTCAACAAGCTGTCATCTGTTTGTGGCTCAGTCGTTGTGATGTATCTTCTGCTGTGCAGAGGATTGTGGGTCAGAATAGCTGACAAGCATGCAGCCTTGCCCTCTGCAAAATGCGGCCGGATGCAGTAGGACATCCTGGTGTTTTTGGCATACTGCATTTGTCATATTATGTATTGGGACACACAAAGTCTCATCGTGGCATACTTAATAGTATGGTAGTACAGGTATTGGAAGGCACAGACCATCTTGACTTTTAAGAGACCTCAGTTGGTTGCTTGGCTAACTCATCGTGACAAGATTCAGGAAAAAGTCCAGCGCATAAAACCGCAACTCTATTATCTGTTATGTGTTTATTAGTGAGCTACAAAGGTGCTGGCTGTAACTGTTAGCCAGGCTAGCTGCTCCCTGCCCCGTTTCCAGTCTTTTTGCTATGCTAAGCTAAATGGCTTCTGGCTCTTGCTTGATATTCAGGGCCTCTTTTTAAAAATCCGAATTTGTAACCAAGTTTGAAGCTGCGGTAATGAACTTGCAGTGTTGTTGCTGTCTGTAACATGTATTCAGATTACTCTGTGCTTGATTTTTTTTTTTTTTTCCAGATGAGGATCTTATACCTGGAGGAACTCAGGCCTTCTCATCTTATCCTGGATCGATCTTCTCTGGAGACGACTTTTATATCATCAGCAGTGGTTTGGTGAGATCTAGCTGTACTTGGCGTAACAGACTTGAGTGTTAAGAACAAACTACAGGATTTAAATGTGTTCATTATTTTACTTTTGGTTACAAATTCAGTAATGCTAGAAAGAGTTTCTTGTTCTTTATCTGTCTTGTGTCTCCAGGTTACTTTGGAAACCACCATCGGGAACAGTAACCCTGCTCTGTGGAAGTTCGTTCAGCCCACGGGAACTGTCATGGAGTGGCTGAGGAACATTGTGGCTAACCGACTGGCTGCTACAGGCAAGGAGTGGGCCGACCTATTCAGGAAGTACAACAGTGGAACGTGAGTTTTACACATCAGGAAGAAACTGGCTCTCATGACTTTTTAACCTTCATTATCACTACTTTGTTTTAATGTAATCCAGTTTCTGTTGTCTGCTGCCTTTTGTCCTGTGTTCAATATTCCTGTTGATGACAAAATTACATATGATTTTCTGTGACTCTACTGCAGTGTGGATTGATTTGAGTAAAGGAAGCAGAAAAACACTTTATATTCAGGAGTCGCATGAAAAGTCAGTTGACTGCTGTGAAATGCTGAATCAGCTGCATACAGTTAACTGAAATGTTAGTAGGTTAAAGGTTGTGTGCTCACTTTTGACTGTGTTTGTGTTTGTGGGCTTTGTAGGTATAACAACCAGTGGATGATTGTGGACTATAAGCACTTCACTCCAGGGAAGACTGACATTAAAGAGGACCTCTTTGTTGTGCTGGAGCAGATTCCGTAAGTCTTTGCATCCAATCTTTAATCAGAACACAAGATTATTTCAGTATTTATATTTCTGACTTCTAAACCTGTCACTTAAAATAAGCCTTTCTAATGCTGCAGGGGACTAGTTGTTTACAGTGATAAAACTCAGGAACTGCTGGAGAAAGGTTACTGGGCAAGCTTCAACATACCGTAAGTATCCAGTTTAAAAGATTCATGTTAACGTATATTATAGATTACTTGTAGTCTGATTCTGGTATATGTAAAACTGTCTTTTTTTCATACAGTACAGGCCAAAAGTTTGGACACACCTTCTCATTCAATGCGTTTTCTTTATTTTCATGACTATTTACATTGTAGATTCTCACTGAAGGCATCAAAACTATGAATGAACACATGTGGAGTTATGTACTTAACAAAAAAAGGTGAAATAACTGAAAACATGTTTTATATTCTAGTTTCTTCAAAATAGCCACCCTTTGCTCTGATTACTGCTTTGCACACTCTTGGCATTCTCTCCATGAGCTTCAAGAGGTAGTCACCTGAAATGGTTTCCACTTCACAGGTGTGCCTTATCAGGGTTAATTAGTGGAATTTCTTGCTTTATCAATGGGGTTGGGACCATCAGTTGTGTTGTGCAGAAGTCAGGTTAATACACAGCCGACAGCCCTATTGGACAACTGTTAAAATTCATATTATGGCAAGAACCAATCAGCTAACTAAAGAAAAACGAGTGGCCATCATTACTTTAAGAAATGAAGGTCAGTCAGTCCGGAAAATTGCAAAAACTTTAAATGTGTCTCCAAGTGGAGTCGCAAAAACCATCAAGCGCTACAACGAAACTGGCACACATGGGGACCGACCCAGGAAAGGAAGACCAAGAGTCACCTCTGCTTCTGAGGATAAGTTCATCCGAGTCACCAGCCTCAGAAATCGCAAGTTAACAGCAGCTCAGATCAGAGACCAGATGAATGCCACACAGAGTTCTAGCAGCAGACCCATCTCTAGAACAACTGTTAAGAGGAGACTGCGCGAATCAGGCCTTCATGGTCAAATAGCTGCTAGGAACCCACTGCTAAGGAGAGGCAACAAGCAGAAGAGATTTGTTTGGGCCAAGAAACACAAGGAATGGACATTAGACCAGTGGAAATCTGTGCTTTGGTCTGATGAGTCCAAATTTGAGATCTTTGGTTCCAACCGCTGTGTCTTTGTGAGACACAGAAAAGGTGAACGGATGGATTCCACATGCCTGGTTCCCACTGTGAAGCATGGAGGAGGAGGTGTGATGGTGTGGGGGTGTTTTGCTGGTGACAATGTTGGGGATTTATTCAAAATTGAAGGCACACTGAACCAGCATGGCTACCACAGCATCCTGCAGCGACATGCCATCCCATCTGGTTTGCGTTTAGTTGGACGATCATTTATTTTTCAACAGGACAATGACCCCAAACACACCTCCAGGCTGTGTAAGGGCTATTTGACCAAGAAGGAGAGTGATGGAGTGCTGCGGCAGATGACCTGGCCTCCACAGTCACCGGACCTGAACCCAATCGAGATGGTTTGGGGTGAGCTGGACCGCAGAGTGAAGGCAAAGGGGCCAACAAGTGCTAAACACCTCTGGGAACTCCTTCAAGACTGTTGGAAAACCATTTCAGGTGACTACCTCTTGAAGCTCATCGAGAGAATGTCAAGAGTGTGCAAAGCAGTAATCAGAGCAAAGGGTGGCTATTTTGAAGAAACTAGAATATAAAACATGTTTTCAGTTATTTCACCTTTTTTTGTTAAGTACATAACTCCACATGTGTTCATTCATAGTTTTGATGCCTTCAGTGAGAATCTACAATGTAAATAGTCATGAAAATAAAGAAAACGCATTGAATGAGAAGGTGTGTCCAAACTTTTGGCCTGTACTGTATATCTATTTAATGTTTATTTGTATATGAAACAAGTGTCATGAAACAATGCCACACACTACAGCATGGGCCTTTAAAATACATAACACTCTATTTTAAGACCCTGCGCAAGGAAAATACAAGAATACAAGACTGATGTGCTGGAGATAATATGGCTCAGTGGAAGCATATCACTTTTATATATTTTCAGTCTGTCCCAAACTGAGATTATACTGGAGGGGCATCCAGGAATCATTAAGCACATTGTTTAAAACTCAAATACCCCATGAACTTGGAGATTCTTTTTTTGGGCTATGTTTTGTTTTTGAAACAGAGGAGGGATACAAAGCTGCCACAGCCCCTTTTGGCAACAAGTAAAAAATCAATCAATAGAAGGTGGCCAAACCTAGTACCACCTACTTTGGTATGGAATAATTTTAGAACTACTTGTATTTAATTTGAGAAGTTGACTTTCTTTTTGAGGATCCAGAAGAACAAAGTCTGGAATAAATGGATCGAATTTATAGCCCCATAATGAACAGACTTTGTATGACACCATTAATGTGTAACTTCCTTTCCTCTTCTCGATAAGAAAAGTGGAAATGTAAATTGCCTTTGTTCTAATGTAAATAATTAAGTTTATTTACGGTGTATGTGATGGGTGGATGTTTTGGACAAGACACAGACTATAATATAACAAAACACCATAAAACAGTAAGTACCAGATTATTAATTCATGACTAGACTGGATCCTGACTGGGGTCATTTTAAACTCAAACTGAAACAAGTTTTAAAGAGGAATCAATGTGCTCATATGCAGGTACTATGAGGAAATATTCAATGCCAGTGGCTGCAATGAGCTGGTTGAGAAGTTCGGCCCGTGGTTCTCTCTGGACCAGAATCCTCGGGCTCAGATATTCAGGAGAAACCAGACAGCTGTCACGGATGTGGACTCAATGGTCCGCCTTATGAGGTACAAATAAACTTAGTCAATAGATTTAATTTTTTTATATGCTAATGACGAACATGTATTTATGAGATGCTGTGTCTCTTCTCAGGTATAATAACTTTAAGGAAGACCCTCTGTCAAAGTGTGAAGGCTGTGATCCACCTGGGAATGGAGAGAATGCAATCTCAGCCCGTTCAGACTTGAACCCAGCTAATGGAACATATCCATTTGGCGCTTTAAAGCAGAGGTCACATGGAGGAACAGACATGAAGGTTTTGATGTTTCTCATTTAATTTCCTGCCATCTCTCTCAAATCTTTTCTGTGTGTTTGTCTCAAATGAAACTGACTGTGATATGTTAAAGAGATGTTTGCTAAATCTGATGCACTGTGTGTGTTCCTGCGCAGATGACCTCCTTTGGGATGTTTCGGGACTATGGTATGCTGGCAGTGAGCGGGCCAACATGGGACCAGGTGCCACCCTTCCAGTGGAGTACTTCACCTTACAAAGACCTGATACACATGGGCCAACCTGATACTTGGGCATTCAAGCCCATAAAAGTCACATGGACTCCTTAATTGTTAATATGCTGTATATAAAAGTGACATAATCAGTGTAAATTCTGCCAGCTGTTTGAAGTTTTGACAAAGGGAAATTATATTTTAATGCAGCGGGACATGACTTTTATGAGCACAATAGTCATTTTATGGATTCTTGCAATAATATTCATAAAGTATTGCAATATAACAGTATTGCACTATTTGCATAATTAAAGCACATAATGTTTAACAGAGCTTTTAATGTGAGGCAATATGAACAATAACTTTACAATCTTGCTGTTGTAAAGAAGAAGCTTCTGCATTAGATTATCTGATTTTAGGTTTTTGCAGATAAATATGTGAAAATGTAAATTCCACTTTTTTCAATTTTGATTTCTCATTGAGTTATTGGCATTAAAATGTTGCTACAGGACACCACTTTTCTTTGGAGAGATCACTGAGTATGATTATTGATACAGATGCTGTAATTTAATGTCACTGTGAAAGCAAATGTCTTAATCATGACTTAAATAATTTGGGTCATTCCATGCTAACTGTTTTACTTTTTTTACTTTACTTTTTAGTAATCAAATACATTTTTTTTCTTTAGTTCTCAAAAAATTAATATCTCCACTAGTTTTTACTTAGTGCAAACAAATTTGGATTCTGTTTAGTGTTAATGTATTTCCATCACATCAGTCAATTTGTATGCATAAAAACTGAGTGCCACAGATCTGGCTAAATATAGCTTCAGAGCTAAAAAAAAATAAAATAAACCACACTTTATAAGATATTTTGAGATGAGATATCTTTCCCCAGAATGGTTATTTTCATTTCCCTGAAACTTGTTAATAATTATTGCATAACATTAACAATTTAAAGATGTTATATGACTCCATGATTTAATCATTTTTTCATGGTTTTCACCTGCTATAATACTACAGTCAGTGGTTTTACCTCCATAGGTAGATATTTGTACTATGTTGACTTCAGGGTTTTCTACCTCTGTGTGATACCTAATGGGTCTGTTTTTCATTGGGTTTAGGACATTTCCAAATTACAGCTTGTAATGGCTTGGTTCAGCATGGTTTAGCTCTAAGGTCCAATTTTAAAGAATAAATAACTTTTTTAAAAAAGTATTTGGAATGGAGGATTTTGCAAGGTTCCATTAATTTAATAGAAGTTTTCACTTTTTTTTCTCAATAAAATCCATAACATAAACAGGAAGTCCTATGTGAGTTGATATGGAATGACCCATTTTTAATAATTTTTAAATCATGCATTGTTTGTGAAATATTTTCTAAATAAACAGTGCCCAGATTATTGGGTTTCTTAAAAATCGATTTCTGTCATTTCTCGATCATGTTTCCATGAAATTGCACCATCTGGTTCTGTTAAAAACATAAAGAAATCTTATACCATTAATAAATAAAAAAGTGCTACTTTGCGATGAGAAAGTCACAGCATAAGCATATTGTTGCAAAAACACAATAAATATAATTTATGTGGGCCTAATGATCTTATGTTTTAATGGATATGTGTACAAAATTATTGATAATATGCCTGTGGATATTCTCATTCATCCAGGTCATAGTTATCTCAAGGCAATTGAATCGAACGCAACTGGACTTGGTTTTGTCTTAGAATACGTTTCACCTCTTATCCAAGAGGCTTTATCAGTTCATGTTTGTCTGACTAGGCTGGCACTAGTCTGACAAACTGGTGTGGAAACAACCCAGGTATTTAACCTCTGGGGAGGTCAAGAAGCCTCTTGGATAAGAGGTGAAACGTCTTATAAGACAAAACCAAGTCCAGTTGCGTTCGATTCAATTGCTTGAGATATCGATAATATGACATTAATTGATAAGAAAAGGCTTCCGGTACCAGAGGCCGTTTACACGTTGCCGGCTATTTTCATAAACGGACATTTCACCGTCTCCGTTTTCAAAAAGATCTTCGTTTACACTTACCCGTGTATATATACACAAGAGCATGCCAAACCTGTAGGTGGCAATGTAACGAGAAGCTCAAGCCTTCCATGTATCCATTGTCACCATAGCAACATAGGTCGCACTTTTTACACAGGCGCAAGTTCCGGCGCATACTGTGACGTGGGCTGCCTATAAATCCGTTTATCTGCGTTTATCTCAGTTTACATGCAAACGCGCAACCGGAGTTTTCCAAAATCTCCACTCTGGCCGGAGTTTTTAGAAAGACTCGTTTTCAGAGGAGAAATCTCCGTTTGCGTGTAAACGAAGGGCACAAACGAAGGAAGATGTCTCCGTTTATCAAAATCACCGTGTACGTGTAAACGGCCTCCCAGTGTGATCTTAGTCAGTCATGTGACCCGCGTCACGGCCGTCGTCATGGTCGTCATAGCCCATGCCGCACCCTGGCTTGTGGCTGCGTCAATACCGCCGCCATCTTGCCTAGGTGCTTTGACTGGTTCAGATCCGTGTCAGATTCTGCAAAAATGCCACATTTTTGCTCTGCATTTGGGTGTACGAACGAGAGAAGTGTTAAAACCAAGCAGAAGGGAATAACATTCCACAGGTAAGAAGTTGTTTTACAATATTTTACTGTTACGAACATGTTTAATGGGATATATCAAAAAGTGATCCTTCTTATAAGCTAATCAAGTAAAGTAACTGTCCTGATCTGGTCCTAATGCCAAATTAAGCTAACGCTATGTCACACAACTTGAAGAAAAAGGTTAACATTTGTATAATATAAAATTACGATGCTTTGTCAAACAGCTATGTCGGTGTATGTGTTATTCCAACTATCTGTTTCATGGCACCAACGTGACATAACGCAGTATAATGTTAGTAGTTAACTTGTGGCCTGAATTGTAACTACAAATTATGTGGAACTGCGTTTTTCTGACACACTTATTTTGTGTGTAGTTTCCCAAAAAACACAGATAGGAGACGGGCATGGGTAGCAGCAGTGAGGAGAAAGGACTTTGTTCCAAGTGACTCCTCAGTCATCTGCAGCTGTCACTTCAGACCTGAGGACTTCGACAGGACTGGGCAGACTGTCCGTTTAAGGGACGGAGTGACTCCCTCTGTATTCAATTTTCCCGAGTATCACTGCAAAGTTAGTATTGAAATAGTTTCTGTATAAATAATGACATAATCTAACACATGTAATGCCCACTAAACTTAACAATAGAAACACAGTTTGATATTGTTCCTCTTGACTTACTGGTAAACAATTAACTTTATCTCCAGGTGCCCAGTACATCCAGGTCAACCAGGACATCCCAAGCTGCTCTACAAAGTCCTGATGTTCAGGTTCAGCCACCAGACAACCAGGAGGAGTCAACCTCAGTGAGTGAAACAGTTTGTAGTTAAACACCTTTGCGGGAAGCTGGGCTTCTGTTACAGTGACAATACATTTAAATTAATTATTTAAATATATGATTATATAATTACATTCATATTTTTCAGGATCATCAGTATGCCCTTGACCTGATTGATGTTAAACGGAAGTTAACTGAGGCACAGGAGAGGGTGGATGAATTGCAGAGAAAATTGCGAAATGCCAAGGATCGAGAAAGAAGGCACACTAAAACAGTGAAATCCCTGCTCCAGGATTTAAAAGAGAAAAAGCTGCTTACAGAGGAACTGCAGCACACTTCTAG